GAAATCCAGCATTGGGTCTGCGCGAAACCCAGCTGGCTTGGATCAAAACGGGGAAGACGGGGAGGACCATGGCAATCTCCGGTTGGGGCAGCCGGAGCTGTACAAGCAAGCTGATAGGGAGGATCCCAAAGCTCTCCTTGATGGCGTCGATGTTGCTAGACTCGTTGGAATCTTGCGCCAATTAGGCGATCTCGCTGAGTATGTTTCTCGCGTTCTTATTTGATTTTGCTCTTCAATTTTGGGGATTGATGATGTTTCTAGTGTTGCATGAAAAATTTTGGAAATTGATTTTTGTTTTAATGTTGAGTTTCATAGTATGTATAGATTGAACTCTGAAGAATGTGAGGATTGATTGAACTGCAGGGGAAGGATTTAGGCAAGCTAAAGCTGTATTGTTTGTTAGTTTTTTAAAAAATTTAAGGGAATTGAATGTCTGAGAATGTAATTTCTTCCACCTCCCCAACGATCCAAGCGAGTTGGGTTCCTCGCGAACCCTGTGAGCTGGGTTCCTCGCAAACCCTGCGAGCTGGGTTCCTCGTGAGCCCAGGCTCTTGGGTTTGCCTAGAGGTAAAAGAAAAAAAAGAAAGGCTGGAGGAATGAGAAGCTGAGGAGGAAGACGAGGGTATATCATTAATTAAAAGGAAAAAATTTAACATGTCATTAATTTTTTGCCACATGGATTTTCCACGTAATTTCGTAAAAAAAAAAGAATAAATGTTTCCGTTAATTAACCTGCCACATCAACTAAATTTTAACAGAGGGACTAAAAAGGGGTCGGATTTATGAACAGTAAGGACTAAAAAAGGGATTTTTTCGGTACAGGGACTAAAAAAGGGCTTTTTCCTATAGTAGAGGGATCAAAAAGGGTATTTAACCTATTTTTTATTATAAAAATTATTAATTTAAAAAAATACTAATAAATAAATAAATAAAATATGAAAGTGTGAATCACACACTCATTTTTATTTTTAATAAGGCTAAAAGTTTTATTATTTTCAAATGAAAAAAAAAAAAAACCAAACTTTTGATTATTTTCTCTAATTAGAAAATTTTGTTTATTAAGTTAATATAAATTTTAATTTTGATGATAAGTTAATGTAAAAAATAAAAATATGATAATCACATAATGTTATTAAAGAAAAAAAATGAAGTTAAAACCAATTAGATAGATGATAATTAAAATCTGTGGCAAAAAATATAAAAACTAAAAAGGATAAATTTATCAATAAAATTAAAATATTCCAATATGCTAGTAGTTTGGTGCAAAAATTACATAAGGTAGCTTTTTCAATTTGCTAATAGTTTGAAACTTAATCGCTATTTATTAATCTCAAACTACTAAATAAAATATTTTACCAAAAATCTAATATGTAGCTGTTTTTGAAATAAACTAACTTACCCAACACATATCTTGTAATGATTTGAATAAAATTGCTAATCACTATTCACAAACTGCTATACCAAAGAAGTCTTAATTACAAATTGAGTGTGAGTTGGTGACCATGTCCTACACTTTTTTTTTCAAATTTAAACCTAAACACATATAGCTTGTTTGGGTTGAAAGGAGGGGAGGAGAAGAGAGGGGAAGGAAGGGAATTGTGAAAAATGTCCTTATTGGGAAAATAAAATTTTGGAGGGGAGGGGAGGGATTTTCCCTTACTTTGCTCTTTTTTTTTTTCTTTTTTTTTTTGTATTTTAATCTAATCAAACAAGGGGAGAGAGGGTAAATCTTTCTGTTTCCTTTACCCTCCTCTCTCATTCCTTTTGTTTCTCATAAACCAAATAATACGGATAATGTTTACTTAAAATATGCAAAAAATTTTCTTCTTTCACTTACTCAAATTATTGAAAATTTTGTCTTCCTTTTATATTTTAAATGGTTTGAATCATAATGGTTATCGATAACATGCACCATACATTTAGGTTTGAATTATGTGATGTCGACCTTATTAAAGTCACATGAAAATGATTCTTCATTTTGGATTTGAAATAGTTTTAAATCTTGATTTTTATTTAGGAGTTTTTTAACATGTGCCTTGAGAGCACATCTTAAAATTACTTTTTTATGTTAATTGATATTAAAAAATGGTTAACCTTTCTTTGATTAACTGTCTAATAAAAAATATCTACATGGTATTGGTGATAAATTAATGTCAATTTTTATCATTTTTAATATTAATTAATGTAAAAAAATATACTAATTGTTCTCTTAACCTATATCTTAAAGGTATGATAGAAAAATCCTTTAATTTATATGAGATATTTGATGCTTACTTTCTCAAAGTGCATAAAAATTTGATATTTTTCTAGATTTTAAATGGTTTTCATCTTAAAAGATTACTTCGATAACGCCCATCTTATAGTTAAAGTTGAGTCATGTGATGTATACCTTATTATACTCAAAGTATGTGGAAAATTGTCTTCTTTTACTTTCTCAACATATGTGAAATGTCTTGTTTCTAGATTTTAAAATTGTTTCAATTCCAACTGTTACCTCAGTAACATCCACACTATGTTTAAAGTTGAGTCATGTGACATCTACCTTGTGAAGAGTTACAAGAACTTCTTCATTTTTTATTTGAAATGACCTCAATCATAACTTTTACCTAACTGAGATATGAAACTTTTACTTACCAAAGTATTTGAAAATTTATTTTCTTTCGAGATTTTAAATTATTTCAAACCAAATGGTTTTAATCTCATTTGTTACTTTGTTACCTTCTAAAATTTTAAATTAAAAAAATATAACATTTACTTTTTAAAAAAATTATGCAAAATTTGCTTTCTTTTACGTACTCAAATTATTGAGAATTTGTCTTTTTCCAATATTTTAATTGGTTTCACTTTCAAATGGCTACCTTGATAATATCCGCCTTACATTTAAAATTGAGTTATGTGATGTTTAGCTTGTCAAAGTCATGTGAAAATATTTCATCCATTTGGATTTAAAATGATTTTAATATTGATTTGATCTACATGTAACATGTAATATTTATTTTCTCAAAATATGTAAAAGTTTGTCATATTTTAGATATTAAATTATTTTAATCTTAAAAATTACTTCAATAATATCCACTTCACATTTAAAATTGAGTTATATAATGTCTACCTTATCAGACTCAAAACACATATAAATTTATTTTCTTTTTTTCTTAAAATATGTGAAAGTATCGAACTTGACCCTGCAGGCTCAGTGGCTTAACCACTTTTATAAGGTTCATATCTCCCTCCTCAAGAGTAATAGTTCGAATCGACCCATGACTAAATGTTCAAAAAAAAAAAAATGTGAAAGTATCTTCTTCTTCTATTTTTTTATGATTCTAAATCATTTCAATCCCACCTGTTAGCGTGATAATTTCAACATTACTATAATACCCCAAAAATTTTTAGAAAAGTGAGCTAGAGACGTAATTGTGAGACAATAATATTATTGAACCTAATCATAAAATTTTTAAATTTGAGGGACTTAAAAGAGAAAAAAAATTAGGATAAGGATCGGCTGATGTTTTTTCTTCTTTCTTTCTTCCTCAGCCACGCGTTTCTGCTCTTCTTCTTCTACCCTACAGCCGAACAAGAAGCCAAGCCACCGACAACACCTACCCTCTTGAGAAACGGTAAAAGCTTGATTTTTCCCTTCTTTTCTTGTTCAAAAATAAGATTTAGAACCTTGAAATTTTTCCCCTGCAGAAAATTTCAGATCTGCTCTGTTCCTTCCCCCTCCGTCCGCTGCTCTTGGCTATGGGTGTGAATTTTTCAGGTTTCTGGTAATGAAACAGCCACTAATTCCGCTTTTCTCCCTTGATTTGGCTTGGGTTTACTCTAATTTCTTTTGGTTTCTCCCAATCTCTGGTAGATCCCCTAAATTCTCCTTCAATTTCTGTTGGCTTCCCCAACCCGCCAGCTCCGATTTTTGCTTGCTGAATTTTCTGGTACGTGGCAAATTCTCCAAGTCCGAACTTTACCCATTTAGTTGTTGCCCCTGCTGAATTTTAGTCCAGTTAAGTGCTGCCCTGTGCCGTTGAACTTTCTGCTGTACAGTGGAAGAATTTCGGCAGCATTAAAACATTTTTTCAGCTTGATTCATGTAGAAATTATCTTGATTGGCTGCTGTTTTTGTCTGGAACTATCTGCTGTTTGTGTCCAGAAATTGTACCTGTTGTGGTGCAGAATTTTGCTGTGTTTTCTGCAAATTCGCTGCTGTTTTTTTCTCTGCAATTTGCTACTGTTTTTACTGCTGTTTACTAGAAAATCCTGCTGTTTTTGCCATAAAATTTTACTGTTCACGCAGGAAATTTTGTTGTTTTGTTGCTGCATTTTTCTACAAAATTTCTGCTGTGTTTTCTGCATCTGCTGCTGTTTTTTTTCTGCAAATTGTTGCGGCATTTTTCTGCATATTCCTTACTGTTTTCTGCACTGTTATAACCTTGAAAAATTCTGCATTTTCCTATACTCTTTCTAGTTGTTTCTGCAATGTTTTTAAGCCAGAAAAAAATTCTGTATTTTCCCCAGGAAAATTCTGCATTTTACTGCATTTTTCCTTGCTATTTTCTGCATTGTTTTTCCTTAAGATTTTTCTACTCCTTGCCAAATTTCTGGAAGTTGCAGTTACTGTTCACGCGTAGTTACTGTTTATACACTGAATTTCAATTATTTGGAGTAGAAAAGCTCGTGGAATACATGAGTTATACATGTTGATATAAATAGTGTCATGATTAGGGGGTAGTCATGGTGGTGATTTCTTTTGGATCCGTGGTAGTACGGTTATTAATTTTGAAATATTTTGGTTAGGTTCTTAATTATTCTATCACACTAGCACTTGGAGTGAGTTTTCTGTCTTATGCGATTGAGGTAAGTAAATTATGGTAATGCCCTTCGATTTCAAAGTAGAAGCATATTTTGAATTGTTTTTGAGATGGTGGCAAGGTTTAAATTGATTTTATTAACACCTGAGTATGATTAGAATGGAAATGAAAATTGTTATTATTTTTGTGGTTGAGCATGCCCACATGGAATTTTTTCGGTTTATTTTTGAAATTTGAAATTGATTGTGAATTACAGATTTTTCTGCAAATCTTACATGGTTTTGTCTCTAATATAGTCATGATTACTGACACCCGTTGGTGGGAGTTTGCAAATGCTAGCACATGTCAACATGTATGCCAATAGGATTGGTTCATTCTGTACTCCTGCCAATGAGATAATACATCGGTTATTACTAACGCCTGCTAGTGGGAGTTTGTTAGACACTAGCAATGACTCATAGATGAGATTACTATTGAATTTTATTCTGCATTAACGGTTTATCATTGAACGTTTTGTTATGTTAAATTGTTTATCAAGCATGCTTAAATTTTACTCACGAGTTATCCATATTTTTATTTACTGAGATATCTTATCTCATAGTTTTTCTTATCCACCATTTCAAGAAGTGAGACCCGAGGCACGATTAACCAGGAGGAGTGACGAGCTAGAAGGCTAGTTAGTATTTTGGATTTAGATCCTTTTTGGACTTAAGCTGTTAGCCACACATGCTTGACATAGATGTGAAATGATAAATCATTTTTTTGTATATTGGGTTTCCCTTGGTTATAGTCATGACTGTCTTATAAACTTTTATACATCTTGACTAGTAAAGTTTTGGTAATTGTAGGATAGATATTAACTGAGTTTTTTTATTTAAATTATGTAAATTGGTAATTATGAATACAGTAGATTCAGAGCCTTATGCATTTGTGGGATCCATTCAAGAGTGCACCGCATCTATTTTCCTCTTGGTTTTGGTGCGTGACAATTTCATTTAAAATTAAGTTATCTGACATCTACTTTGTCACACTCCGATGAAAATGTTTATTGTTTATTTGAAACAGTTTCAATCGTTGAATTTTATTTTATCTAGCAAAGATATATGACTTTTGCTTTCTCAAATTATGTAAAAATTCATCTTCTTTTTAGATATTAAATTGTTTTAATAATCCTAGTGGTTTTAATCCCAACGATTACTTTCTAATTTTTAAATTTAATCCTGAAACAAATAACATTTACTTAATTAACAGTATGTGATATTTAACTTCTTAGAGCTATGTAAATTACTTAAATTTTGTCTTTTTTCAATGTTCTAAATAGTTTCTATCTACCTTATCAGAATCACGTAAAAATGTTTCTTCCTTTGAATTTGAAATGGTTTCAAATTTTCAATCTTCATTTTTACCTACCAAACATAATTAACGTTTACTTTCTAAAATTAAGTGAAAATTTGTTTAGAGCATGAAAAATTAGGACGCTATCCATTGAGTGGGTCCTAGGGGTAGGGTCCATTCATGGATGGCTCTGATGGACATCCGAACGTCAAGACATTTTGATTTTTATATTTTTGAAATTTGTTTTATATCTAATTTTAAATTGTTTCAATCTTGATAATGATCTCTATAGTGTCTACATTACATTTTAAATTGAGTCAAGTCCTGTTTACCTTATCATAATAAAGTAAAAATATTTCTTCCTATATATTTAAAATGGTTTCACTCCTAGCTTTTACCTCCCTTCACATGTAACATTTATAATATGTTTGGTTTGAGGAGAGGGGAGGGAATTGGTGAAAATTACTCCATTTGGCTAGTAAAAAATTTAGAATGGGGGACTTATCCAAATGATAGGAGGGGAAGGAAGGAGAGGGGGATGGAACCATCCCCCTCTCCTTCCTTCCCCTCCCCTCCATTCACTCAAACCAAATGTTCTGTTACTTTAAATATTTGAAATTTTGTCTTTTTTCTAAATTTTAAATTGTTTTAATCTTGACAATAACCTCGATGGTATTTACTTTATATTTAAAATTGAGTCTTGTTACGTCAACCATCTTATTAGAATGACGTGAAAATGTTCTTTTCTTTTAGGTTTGAAATGGTTTTAATTTCATTTTTTACCTACATAACATAAAATTAACTTTTTCACAATTCATGAAAATTAAACTTTTTTTCTCTAGATTTTAAATTGTATCAATGCAAAAGGGATAAATTCATTAATAAATAAGTGTCCTTTTTATTGATTAGGTTCAACGTTCAAATCTTACTACTATTATTTAAGGAAATTAATTTTTTAAATGCATTAGACTGATCTAGGGTGCACACCCTTAAAATTGTATGATGAGAAATTAATTTCAAACTACACAAAAACTAATCTAAGAACACCTTGACCATATCTTAAAAAAAAAAAAAAATTGTATCAAATCCCAACAATCTCATCTTATATTTCATAAGTTAATTAAGTCATAATGTCTACCTTATCAGAAACACATGAAAATGTTTCTTCCATTTAATTTGAAATGGTTTCAATTTTTCATTTTTGTCTTTTCCCTACTTGAGAAATGTAACGTTTATTTACTTAAACTACGTGAAAATTTGTCTTCTTTTTAAATTTTAAATAATTCAAATTCTAATTGTTACCTCCTTAAAGTCCACCTTACATCTAAAATTGAGTAATCTAACATGTTTTTTTTTTTTTTTTGTTAGAGTCACATGAAAATGTTTTTTCCTTTTAGATTTAAAGTGGTTACAATCTCAATTTTTTACGTTAGTAACATTACTTAACCTTTCTCTAAATTGAATTGAAGTCCTATGGAGGCATCCAATTGCATTAACTATTAAGCCATCATCAATCTTCTATCAATCTCTACAAGTCATCTTGGCATTCAAGGTAATCCTCTAACTCCATGTATTTCCTTTCTAATTGGATTGTACTCAATCTACATCTATGACAACTTAACAAATTCAGTATAAGAAAGATTTCACTCCAGGTTTCACGGTTTTTCTTTAATAATTCTCCGGACATTTGAGCCAATTTCGAAAAAGACGTTCCAACGACATGGCCAATCTCTAGTCCCTTGAAAAGCTGAGCTTTAGTAAACGCCAGAAAGATTCCATCAAGAAAAGTGTGGAGGAAGAAGGTGTGTAGAGAACCAGTTGCATCATAAAAAAGACGGTTCATTTCTACACAGATTTCGAAGCATCTATACACTATTAATTAATGGATTCATATCAGGCACGTTTGTAGGCAGATGGATGGATTATGGAAACCAATAATCCAGTCCTTCGCTGCAAACAAGAACCTGGCTTGCTCACCTAATTTGAAGAGACAAGGGCCGCTTTGGTATGTGCAGCAGGTAAAGAAAATGTCCTCTTGTTTCAATCCGTTCTCTGATTTTTCATTAATGGAATTTCAAAAGGAGAATAATTTGAGCCCCTTAAAAACTCTATTTTGACACTTTTCACCATACCAGTTAATGAAGAAGTTTTTCCATTTATATTCGAAAGGAAAAAACTGTTTTTTTTTAATGTACATAAAGCATTACATCCTTTTCCCCTGTATTGCAGCGGCTGTTAGGATGTCATGTTTGGATGGAGTTTATTCTTCTTAGTAACACTTCGAAGTTCTGGTCACGATCCATCATGCTAACCCTGACTAACTTAAGGCTATCCCCAAAGTGCTTGCCACTCCTCACCAGGATCTTCTTTTCTTTGAAGAAGCCTTCGCAGTCCTGGATGTCTCCTTCACACTTGACCCATGCGAAGGCTGCAAAGGAGAAAGTAAAGGTAATTAATGTTGAATTCATTTGAGTTCTGCAAACTAAGCTTTCAGGAATATATATGAATGTAAATTGATTCATAAACACAGTTCATATGGTTTCTTACCAGGTTGAGGCTTGAAGATCCTCTTGTGGAACGTGCAAAACTGAGGGGGAAAGTGAGGCATGCTGAACATTTCTGATTGCTGCAGTGCCTCTTGTAATTTCTTCCACCTCTTGTCCATGAGGTGGTAGCTGTATTCAAAGAAGGAGTCATCTCCTTCTCTTGATTCACAGCTGTCTGAGACAACTTTCAGCACTTGAGCTGCCCGTAGCTGTGAATCCCTGGACACTCCTATTGTGCTGAGCTCTATGAACTTTACCATCCTTTTTGCTACTTGCTCATCCTTCACTAGAGCCCAGCTGTGGAGACCAAAGTGAAAAAGTTAGAAATATCACCAAAGCAGTACTTTCCTTTCAATCAAACTTCCTTGAATGTGTGTCACAAGAGGTGTTCAGAGTTCAGACTAGTATCTACAACCACATAGAAAATCATGTACAACCTTGAACAATGCATAGCTACCATTACATGTTATTTCCTTTTCATTCAACATTTTTAGTCCACAAAGGAAAGGGTTTTTAATCAGATCTAGCAAAATAATTCTCTACAATACACATCCAAAAAAAAAAAAAAAATTTC